ATTAAAGAGGTGGAAAATGCAAACATCAGCCAATTTAGATTGGTTAACTCAGAAATTAAACCCTTAAAACAAACACATCTAATAGGCGAAAGCAGACTGGCAAATATTTCCTCCAACAACATGATCCCGAAATTGAAATATGGTGGTTTTAAATGCAATATTTTGCCAAAATGATTCATTAATAATTTAAAGACTAGTCTTGATTTAAGCAATGGACTAGTACCGTTTGAAGAATTCGTAACTGAAAGATTGGAGGGTACTGCCATGGTCTGGTGGTCGTTAAACAAAAATGAAATTTCAGATTTTGATGAATTGGAAATAAAATTCAACAAAGAATTTAATATACATAGATATCAGTCACACCTTATGCATAAATTACTAACTGAATCATACCAAACCCACCGGAACAATACATTGTTGACTTGGTAAGACTTACGACGGATGCTGAAATTGAAATTGAGGAAGCCAAAAAAAACTGCCAGACATTTCGATAATAAAATTTATTATGTTGCCATAGAGCAAAATTTCCAGACCATCAATAGTTTAATAACTTACACCGAACGGATATACTCAATGACCCTAAATCGAGATAATGAAAGAAGAAATAGTTCCAGGGAAAATGAAAATAAACAGCAAAATCACAGATCCAATAGGCCTAGGCAATCTGACAACTGGAGGTACCAAAACCCTAATCGACAAAATAATTACACTTCTTACAGCAGAACCCCAACTGATAACTGGAGAACAAGATATGTTCAACAACAAGCTAGCAATCGGACATTCGAACGAAGGGAAGAAGTCCCTGCTCCTCCACGAATGCAATGACTAACCCACAGATCCAACACCCAACCTGAACAACTTCAGCATCCAGCACCTGTAATATGTAATATTTTCACAGAGAATGATCTCATTGTTGACAGTGAAAATACAGAAGTCAATAAGAAATCAAAATCGGCAAAACCCCGTTATATCAGCAAAACTAGCCAACTTGGAACTTGACATTTTAATTGATAGTGGCAGTGAAATCAATGCCATTAGTCAAGATTGCCTGACACGACTGCAACGTACAGTTCCAAATTTACACATATTACCTTGCAAAACCTTACAAATAGTTACGGCATGTAACAAAAAGTCAAAGAAAATTGATAGACAGTTGTAAAAATTGATGTTTCATTGGGTAATAGTAAAGTAGAGCTAATAATGCTAGTTGTGCCAGAATTGAGTTGTGATTGTATAATAGGGTTTGAATCACTAAAAGACATTTATGTGGAAGATATAAATGTATTTAAAAACACAATTGTAGTAATAAAAGGATATACTCACCAGATATTAGTTAATGACCAAACAACATTCAGAATAAGATTGTAGCCAATAAAGCCTCGGTTATTGGAAGCAGCCAAATTAGAAATCCAACAGTGGCTAGACCAAAATATAATTGAGCCCTCATACTGACTCATCATATGTCAGTCGGTTGCTATTTATCGAAAAGAAAAATGGGGAAGTTAGGCCATGTATTGATGAGAGACACTTGTACAATAGGACTCTACCAGAATATGATTTCCCACCTAAAATTTATGAAATATTCCAGAATTGCAAGGACACTAAATTCATTTCAACGATTGATTTAAAATCAAGCTTTTTGCAAGTGGCTCTGGAAAATCATTCAAAACAATACACAGCATTCCAATTCTTAGGAAAAACATATCAATTTAAACGTGTTCCTTTTGGTCTAAAAAAAACTCTTGCCTGTCCTTATCAAGGCACTTGCAAATGTGATGCCTTCCGAGTTCCCACATAATATCAGGTCATATGTTGATGATATAATCATATTTTCACCATCCTTCGAGGACCATCTGTTACATATTGATTCCTTGTTAAAAAATTTTAACAGATATGGTGTTACCGTAAACTGCGAGAAATGCAAATTTTTCCAGAAAGAAGTATCATTTCTCGGATTTATTATCTCAAATGAAGGATTAAAAAAAGGATGAGAAAAAGGTGAAAGCCATTCAAAATTTTCCTAAACCTACAAACAAGACCTCTCTGAAATCCTTTCTTGGACTGGTCAATTACTACAGTAAATTCACCTCCAAATTTTCAAATCTCAGCTCAACACTTAATCATTTGTTACAAAATAGGATAAAATGGAAATGGGAAAATATACACCAAGAAGCTTTCGAAAAAATCAAACAAGACATGACAAAAGATATAACATTAAGGTTTCCTAATTATGACAAGGAGTTTATCTTAGAATGTGATGCATCTGATATTGCTACTGGAGGTCATCTATACCAAGTAGGAGACAACAATGATAGGTGGAAAATGGAAAGATTTTCTACAATCCCTGGATATCATCCCTATTCTCACAGCCATTCGAAGACCTCAAAATAAAATTTCAAAAAGAGTAAACCGTGAGATTTTGACATTTCTCAAAATGACAGCCAAGAAAAGACACAATACTTGGGTCAAGGATGTTCCCTTGATTCAAGACACCTTGAATTAAACTTATCACTCGACAACTGATGAAGTACTATATAGAGTACTCACAGGAAAACACCCTCCTAGACCATGGGACAGCATTAAAGAAATTTCAAGCACCTCGGATGCACCAACAGACCACCAATCATTAATCAATGAAACTAGAGACTTTATAAATAGGAAGAAAGCTGATGTCATAGACAAAACTGACAAGTCCCTGTTTTGAAACCTGGAGAGTTGGTGGTCATTAAGGCTCTCAACTAGTGTTAAAGAAAAGAAATTAGTAGCCAAACTCATGCCTAGATTCCAAGGACCTTACAAAATAAAACACAAACTTGGTGCTTCAGTGTATTTGTTAACTGCCAAGGATGAGCCCGATGTTGTCAGAGGAATTTTTCATGCAGCACTCCTTAAGAAATACTATTTGCAGGAGGACCAAGCCAATGCATTACCTATAGGCCCAGGTTAGGAGAATACTAAAATAAATTTTTTGTAAATTTGTGGTTACAAACTCAGGCTTGTCTTATGGATATAAAATAAAAAATCAATAAATAGATAAATAAAATAAATAATAGTAATAAACAAACTGGTTTAATAATAAATAATATAAATTACCCATTAATTTATTTCCATTGTGGACTTCAAACATTTTTTTACAGATTATATTCACTTTTAATTAGTGATAATAGGATTTAAATTTTTATCTTAAACTATCCAGTAAATTTTCTCTTACACCTAAAACCGCTGATTTTTTATATATCGTGCATTTTGTATATATCGTGTATTTTGAATATATTGTGTATTGTTATATATCGTGTATTTTGTATATAATCATTTAAATAATTTTTTTTTTGCCGATGCATCAGTGCATTTAGGAATGATTTTAAGTATGCACATTAAAAATTCAAATTTCTGTTACCCAAAAAGTTCATTTCATCACGGTCATTTTTCTTAAATTTTGTTGTTCTCACTCGAACACAAAATTTAAAAGTTAAACGGTAGGGATATGTAGTAGACATCCCCCTGTATTTACTCCTTTAGACGACATTGCGTCAGGGAATGTTAAGGAATATATAATATATAGGAATGTGAGGTTGCAGGATGAATTGTACTCAATTGTGCAGTGGACAAATTGTTCATTGGAAAATCTCATATCAATAAACAATCAATAAAGAAGAAAAAAGGTCCGGTCAGGTAGCAGCAGCTGGAAGACGACGCCAGTCACTTTAGGCCTGGACACGAACATGAGAAGACGTCATCTGGGAAGAGAGGCTTACTACATTGAAGACTAAAAATATCAAGCCTACAGTTATTAGACTTTAATATATTAACTTATATCAGTTGTTAAAATAAATTGTTTTGTTAGACAGGAGTGAATAGTCCTTTTATTTAGTTGTCCTATAGGCCTCACAATTGAAGAATAAACCAAGTGAGTCAATTCATTTAAAGTGTATTTACTAAGTCCCACATTATATATATATGTGATGAGGTGGCAATTGAAAAAAACCATATTAGACATATGATGGAGTCAGGAAAGAGAGGACCGTGTCTCGATGTTTTTACTCGGGGACAGCTCGTCGAGATTGGAAATTTGGTATGGTGTTGCTTCACCAAACGCATGCTGAAGACTGACCAGAATATGTATAAATCACTCCCTTTTATACTTGCCGTGATGTTTGAGATTTGTCGACTAATTTTGACTATGAAAAGTAACTTTTTATTTATATAATGTTTTAAGAAAAAATTAATTTTTTCTTCAAAAATTAATTATGTTGTTCCAATCATCTTAGTTTTCTAAAAATAGTTTAGAATTAAGCCTTACCACCACGGCAAGGTGTGAGTGCATCGAGATGGTTTGCTGATATAATATTGTTGTTAATATTTTTCCATCCAATCATTCCTTTGGTTTACGGGTAAATTAATACCTCGCCAGTGACCAATACACAAATTCCATACATCCATTTTTAAGAAAGGATGAGAAATTCCACTAGGTAGATGCTGAACAAACTTCTTTTGAAGCGATCAAAACAGCTTTGTGTTCACATTCAGTCTTAATTTATCCGAATTTTAACGATCTATTTATATTAACGACAGACGCATCGGGTGTGCCCTTAGAGGCTGTCCTTTCTCAGATGAGAGAGAGACATGAAAGACCAGTGGCATACGGTAGCCATTAACTTAATAATGACGAGCGAAACTACTCCCCCACTGAAAGGGAGTTACTGGCAGTTGTATGGGCTACTGCTCAATTTATACTGCTCTCAATGTTACATTTGAAAGATGCTTCTGCTCGATTATCACGATGAAGCCTCCTGTTGATGGAGTATAACTATGACGTGGTTAATATGCCTGAAGTATGTCATCAAAACGCTGATGGTCTCAGCAGAGGAGTTGCAGCAGTAGATTACAGGTTTCTAGATCAAGTATCTTTACTGAAAGAACAAGAGGACCGCTGGTCGCACGATATTATTGCAAAATACTAGGAGAAAGTACATATAGGTTACAAAGGTTTATGGTATTGGATGGACGATCAGTCAGATCCAGAGACTTGGAAGGTAATGGTCCCCGTATCTTTGCGGACTTCTATCATTAATGAGAATCATGATTCCTGGTGGGCATGTCATCCAGGTCAAACTCACACAGCAGCGCGAATTTTTGAGAGGTTATACTGGCCAGACTTGCGGGACCATGTTGCAACGTACGTCCACAATCGCCATTCTTGTAATATGAGAAAAAGCCCAAGAGGGTTAGCTGTTCCACTGGGCCCTCTGTTAGAAGGTACCTATTCCTTCGAATTGGTATTGATAGACATAGCTAACATGTGTAGATAATTTTAAGAGATACACAGAAGCGGTACCCTTAAAACAACAAACGGCAAATGAAGTGGCGAAAGCATTTGTTAAATATATTGTTTTGATATTGATATTGATTGTTATATCGTTTAGTGGTAGTTTAGCTATTATAGCACGAAATATTTGTAAAGCATTCTACAACATGGACATGGAGCCCCGAAGAAAGTTTCAATGAAAGTTTTAACAGATAGGAGTAGGAATTTCACACCAGACTTGTTAAAAGAAACATGTAGACTACTAGGAATAGAGAACATTCAGACTACGGCCTACCATCTGGCATGAAACGGATTAGTTGACCGATTCCACCTGACGTTGTGGGACTCTCTTGCACACTTGGTGCGTAAGGGGGCTGCCGATTGGGACAGAAGTGTCCCCTTCACTCTTCGGGCTTACTTCAACAGGGTACTCTTCACACCATCTAATATATGGTCATAAATTTGAACTTTCATTTCTATGTGATTTTTCATTCCCAGGATCAATTAAGGAATATGTTTCGGCAATAAAAAATAGACTTACCGACATTCATAAAAAAGCGAACGAATCGGCGAGGGAGGCTTGGGAAATTCGGACTCGAAACCATGATTTCGAAAAGACCTTGCATGAATATCAGGAAGGAGAACTGGTTTATTTATTTGAACGAGTTTCACATCAAGAGCAGTCGAGGAAATTCAGACATTCGTGGTCAAGACCGCATAAGGTTATTAAAAGACTGTCACCGTGGACAGACTGTCATCTACGTACCACCGTTACATCGTCTGCAAATAATTCCCAAGGCGTATTTGGACAGGTTGCAATAGGTTTAAATAGAGATATAGAATGTCGAAATTATTTACTGGAACACAATCCTACACAACCCATGAAAATAGATGATTTAAAATATCCAGACAAACATGATATAGAGGAACGTCTATGGGGTAGACATTTATTAGATGATAAATTCGATGAAAGTATACAGACGTGTGTAGGAATACGAAGAACGTTACCCACGTATGTAGGTTTTTTAATGCCATTTAAACAATCGGATAAAGGAACTATGACAACGGAATGACCGGAATTAATGAAGTACACAAAAACATTTAATTTGTTAGATCATATGGAAGATCCTTGCATGCATTACGAATATAAAGTAAAGACAAATGTTATTAAACCTAAAACGACAGTGATGGTTAAAGACCCTGCTGTTACGAACCAAAGTATAATGGGCGGGGAATATTTTAGTATTTAAGTTGGGGAACAGAAGGATGACCATTCAATAACATTAAAACGTGTAGCAAAGTTAGTAGCTATACCACCATCTAAAAACGATTACGAGGAATATGTCGATGAAGTTGTCGAACACTGTTATGCCGTGACTATACCTGATCATACGCCTGAGAATGCCGGACATGCCCAGCCAAGTCTCCATATTGGTGTGCTACCTATTCAGACTAATGCTCCAGAGAAGGAGATTCAAGAATACGTCACTGCCTGTGCTACCTGGGAGATTAGAACACGGGTCGTTGTATCTACCGATTTACATCTGGATCATGTATATAAAGGTCTATATCCTGTAAATAAAGTACCCTTTGGTGATAAACTGAGGGGATCCAACCAGATCTTTTCAAATAATGTATTTGGGTTTGCACCAAAATAAAAACAATGTATATACATATATATAAAACAGTACCGGAGAACAATAACTTAAAGTTTTCTAGAGAGGCCGGTTCAACGTTGGGTTCGTCAAAAATCAAGAGATTACGATTAGAGCAATCCTGAAACGGGAATTGAGTATATCTATTAGAATTGCCTATATACCCGGTATTTAGCATTAATTTTCCTACTATGTTTGCGAACCACGTTTTACCTACCAATGGACAACCTTTTATTAATAGACAATTGTGTTTCTCAGAAGTATGATTTAATAAATTATAAAGAAATACTAAAAGTTCCGTCATTGTCCCGTTGTCCATTTGCATCGATAAAACCAATTTTAATATGTTATAAGATTCGAGAACCGATAACACACGCATATTTGGTCGGTAATATATACTCCCTTATATCGTTTAGTGGTAGTTTAGCTATTATAGCACGAAATATTTGTAAAGCATTCTGATATGCTGAATCCCATTTAGTAATGTAGCGGAACACAGGATGGTTTAACCATTCATCGGACGACGTTGTATCGTTATCCGGTATGATTAGATTTTCTTCCATAAACCGTAAGATTCGGCGCAATGGTTGATTGTCTGTGAAGCCCGTGTATTCCCGCCTTCCTTATGTTTAGTAATAAGTAAAAGTTGACGCCATAAACGGTGTGCCTCGGGGTGTGTTCTTGTTCTTGACTTTGTTGACCCCGACCTCGAAATATTCCTTCGTTGCGTGATACCAATTGCGCTTGTCAAAGTTTTCATGCTCCTCGTTTTTGTTTTATGAGATGTTATATATGTGGTGGAAGATTTTAGTATGATAGTTCTCTGTCAAATTATAAGAAATAGAACAACCTCAGGCAGCATTTTGAACAATCTGTGTTAGGAGTTGCACTACATTTTCCAATTCCTGCCGTTTACGTCGAATTTTATAGAACTTTCGACTATTGCCCTAAACCTGCACCAGTCGATTTTCTAAATGTTAAAGTTTAAAAGTAATATATAATAACATAAATATCATTTCTAGTAGTTGATATTTCAAATATAGTTTCTATTCAAAATGCTGATCTGTTATGTGTTATTTTTCAAAATTCTTAAAGATTTGTTATACAATTTTATTTATAGATAAGAATATAAAGAAAATGGAAAAATTGTACGGGGAGGAGATGAGTAGACTAATATTAGGACATGAGTGGATAACACAATACTCACTCTCTCCTCATTCTCCAACAGAAGATTATATATACAGCCCGAGTCGTGGGATAGTTGCGGCAGTCTTACATGCTTTACTAAGGCAAGACACAGAAGGGTTTAAAAAATTGCACAATTTGACTAAGTTTAATTATTATCCATTGAAGTGCTGGTTGCAAGATTGTCATCAATACTCACTCTCTCCTCATTCTCCAACAGAAGATTATATATACAGCCCGAGTCGTGGGATAGTTGAGGCAGTCTTACACGCTTTACTAAGGCAAGACACAGAAGGGTTAAAAAAATTGCACAATTTGACTAAGTTTAATTATTATCCATTGAAGTGCTGGTTGCAAGATTGTCATCAATACTCACTCTCTCGTCATTCTCCAAAAGAAGATTATATATACAGCCCGAGTCGTGGGATAGTTGCGGCAGTCTTATACGCTTTACTAAGGCAAGACACAGAAGGGTTTAAAAAATTGCACAATTTGACTAAGTTTATTTATTATCCATTGAAGTGCTGGTTGCAAGATTGTCATCAATACTCACTCTCTCCTCATTCTCCAACAGAAGATTATATATACAGCCCGAGTCGTGGGATAGTTGCGGCAGTCTTACACGCTTTACTAAGGCAAGACACAGAAGGGTTTAAAAAATTGCACAATTTGACTAAGTTTAATTATTATCCATTGAAGTGCTGGTTGCAAGATTGTCATCAATACTCACTCTCTCCTCATTCTCCAACAGAAGATTATATATACAGCCCGAGTCGTGGGATAGTTGCGGCAGTCTTACACACTTTACTAAGGCAAGACACAGAAGGGTTTAAAAAATTGCACAATTTGACTAAGTTTAATTATTATCCATTGAAGTGCTGGTTCAAGATTGCCATCAATACTCACTCTCTCCTAATTCTCCAACAGAAGATTATATATACAGCCCGAGTCGAGGGATAGTTGCGGCAGTCTTACACGCTTTACTAAGGTAAGACACAGAAGGGTTTAAAAAATTGCACAATTTGACTAAGTTTAATTATTATCCATTGAAGTGCTGGTTGCAAGATTGTCATCAATACTACAGCCCGAGTCGTGGGATAGTTGCGGCAGTCTTACACGCTTTACTAAGGTAAGACACAGAAGGGTTTAAAAAATTGCACAATTTGACTAAGTTTAATTATTATCCATTGAAGTGCTGGTTGCAAGATTGTCATGAATTTCCGAATTGCGTCGTAAGATGTTTGTCCGCCCTGGCCTGGGCGATGGCAAATAAAAAAGTTTCTCCCAGATCACTATTTGTATAAGTAGTCATAGGAATGGAGGAGAAATACGATCTCTGTGGATTTTTCCTCCAGAGAATGGTAACCTATAACAAGCAGATCAGCAAGAATGCTCAATCCGAAATAAGCGATCCACGAAAATCGAAGGAGGCTTCCACACAAACGAGAACGTAAACGTCGCCACGGTATCACTATGTTGTGTGTTATTATATCAATGTTGTGGTCTTGCTAAATGAAGGAATTTATTATTATTATTATTTTATCTATATAATTGGATTATTATATTTATATTAAAATTATTGCATTATTACCATATATTGTTGCGTTATTACTATATACATTGATATTATTGAATTTTTAGTATTATTGTCGACGTTTGTATCTATTATAATATGACTATGTTGATTAGAGGATGAAAATATTGTATAAAGCACTTCATAGGTTATTGAACAATGTATACAAATATTGTGATATATTTTGTTAAAAATAAATAAAAAAGAACCAAAATCAATTTCATTGTTTATTTATTCGCCGCCACAGTATCACTAAGTTGTGTGTTATTATATCATTGTTGTGGTCTTTCTAAATAAAGAGATCTATTATTATTATTATTATATCTATATCATTGGATTATTATACACATATATTAATATTTTTGCGTTACTAATATATACATTGATATTATTCATTTTTTATTATAATAATATTATTGCTGACGTTTGTATCTATTATTATATAACTATGTTAATTAGAGGATGAAAATATTGCATAAAACACTTCATAAGTTATTGAACAATGTATACACATATTGTGATATATTTTATTTAAAATAAATAAAAAAGAACCAATATCAATTTCATTGTTTATTTATTAAACTTTTCCCTTATCACTTAGTAGACAAATACAGTCTTACACGCTTTACTAAGGTAAGACACAGAAGGGTTTAAAAAATTGCACAATTTGACTAAGTTTAATTATTATCCATTGAAGTGCTGGTTGCAAGATTGTCATGAATTTCCGAATTGCGTCGTAAGATGTTTGTCCGCCCTGGCCTGGGCGATGGCAAATAAAAAAGTTTCTCCCAGATCACTATTTGTATAAGTAGTCATAGGAATGGAGGAGAAATACGATCTCTGTGGATTTTTCCTCCAGAGAATGGTAACCTATAACAAGCAGATCAGCAAGAAGGCTCAATCCGAAATAAGCGATCCACGAAAATCGAAGGAGGCTTCCACACAAACGAGAACGTAAACGTCGCCACGGTATCACTATGTTGTGTTATTATATCAATGTTGTGGTCTTGCTAAATGAAGGAATTTATTATTATTATTATTTTATCTATATAATTGGATTATTATATTTATATTAAAATTATTGCATTATTACCATATATTGTTGCGTTATTACTATATACATTGATATTATTGAATTTTTAGTATTATTGTCGACGTTTGTATCTATTATTATATGACTATGTTGATTAGAGGATGAAAATATTGTATAAAGCACTTCATAGGTTATTGAACAATGTATACAAATATTGTGATATATTTTGTTAAAAATAAATAAAAAAGAACCAATATCAATTTCATTGTTTATTTATTCGCCGCCACAGTATCACTATGTTGTGTGTTATTATATCATTGTTGTGGTCTTTCTAAATAAAAAGATTTATTATTATTATTATTATATCTATATCATTGGATTATTATACATATATATTAATATTTTTGCGTTACTAATATATACATTGATATTATTCATTTTTTATTATAATAATATTATTGCTGACGTTTGTATCTATTATTATATAACTATGTTAATTAGAGGATGAAAATATTGCATAAAACACTTCATAAGTTATTGAACAATGTATACACATATTGTGATATATTTTATTTAAAATAAATAAAAAAGAACCAATATCAATTTCATTGTTTATTTATTAAACTTTTCCCTTATCACTTAGTAGACAAATACAGTCTTACACGCTTTACTAAGGTAAGACACAGAAGGGTTTAAAAAATTGCACAATTTGACTAAGTTTAATTATTATCCATTGAAGTGCTGGTTGCAAGATTGTCATGAATTTCCGAATTGCGTCGTAAGATGTTTGTCCGCCCTGGCCTGGGCGATGGCAAATAAAAAAGTTTCTCCCAGATCACTATTTGTATAAGTAGTCATAGGAATGGAGGAGAAATACGATCTCTGTGGATTTTTCCTCCAGAGAATGGTAACCTATAACAAGCAGATCAGCAAGAAGGCTCAATCCGAAATAAGCGATCCACGAAAATCGAAGGAGGCTTCCACACAAACGAGAACGTAAACGTCGCCACGGTATCACTATGTTGTGTTATTATATCAATGTTGTGGTCTTGCTAAATGAAGGAATTTATTATTATTATTATTTTATCTATATAATTGGATTATTATATTTATATTAAAATTATTGCATTATTACCATATATTGTTGCGTTATTACTATATACATTGATATTATTGAATTTTTAGTATTATTGTCGACGTTTGTATCTATTATTATATGACTATGTTGATTAGAGGATGAAAATATTGTATAAAGCACTTCATAGGTTATTGAACAATGTATACAAATATTGTGATATATTTTGTTAAAAATAAATAAAAAAGAACCAATATCAATTTCATTGTTTATTTATTCGCCGCCACAGTATCACTATGTTGTGTGTTATTATATCATTGTTGTGGTCTTTCTAAATAAAAAGATTTATTATTATTATTATTATATCTATATCATTGGATTATTATACATATATATTAATATTTTTGCGTTACTAATATATACATTGATATTATTCATTTTTTATTATAATAATATTATTGCTGACGTTTGTATCTATTATTATATAACTATGTTAATTAGAGGATGAAAATATTGCATAAAACACTTCATAAGTTATTGAACAATGTATACACATATTGTGATATATTTTATTTAAAATAAATAAAAAAGAACCAATATCAATTTCATTGTTTATTTATTAAACTTTTCCCTTATCACTTAGTAGACAAATACAGTCTTACACGCTTTACTAAGGTAAGACACAGAAGGGTTTAAAAAATTGCACAATTTGACTAAGTTTAATTATTATCCATTGAAGTGCTGGTTGCAAGATTGTCATGAATTTCCGAATTGCGTCGTAAGATGTTTGTCCGCCCTGGCCTGGGCGATGGCAAATAAAAAAGTTTCTCCCAGATCACTATTTGTATAAGTAGTCATAGGAATGGAGGAGAAATACGATCTCTGTGGATTTTTCCTCCAGAGAATGGTAACCTATAACAAGCAGATCAGCAAGAAGGCTCAATCCGAAATAAGCGATCCACGAAAATCGAAGGAGGCTTCCACACAAACGAGAACGTAAACGTCGCCACGGTATCACTATGTTGTTTCTTATTATATCAATGATGTGGTCTTGCTAAATGAAGGAATTTATTATTATTATTATTTTATCTATATAATTGGATTATTATATTTATATTAAAATTATTGCATTATTACCATATATTGTTGCGTTATTACTATATACATTGATATTATTGAATTTTTAGTATTATTGTCGACGTTTGTATCTATTATTATATGACTATGTTGATTAGAGGATGAAAATATTGTATAAAGCACTTCATAGGTTATTGAACAATGTATACAAATATTGTGATATATTTTGTTAAAAATAAATAAAAAAGAACCAATATCAATTTCATTGTTTATTTATTCGCCGCCACAGTATCACTATGTTGTGTGTTATTATATCATTGTTGTGGTCTTTCTAAATAAAAAGATTTATTATTATTATTATTATATCTATATCATTGGATTATTATACATATATATTAATATTTTTGCGTTACTAATATATACATTGATATTATTCATTTTTTATTATAATAATATTATTGCTGACGTTTGTATCTATTATTATATAACTATGTTAATTAGAGGATGAAAATATTGCATAAAACACTTCATAAGTTATTGAACAATGTATACACATATTGTGATATATTTTATTTAAAATAAATAAAAAAGAACCAATATCAATTTCATTGTTTATTTATTAAACTTTTCCCTTATCACTTAGTAGACAAATACAGTCTTACACGCTTTACTAAGGTAAGACACAGAAGGGTTTAAAAAATTGCACAATTTGACTAAGTTTAATTATTATCCATTGAAGTGCTGGTTGCAAGATTGTCATATATTGTGATATATTTTATTTAAAATAAATAAAAAAGAACCAATATCAATTTCATTGTTTATTTATTAAACTTTTCCCTTATCACTTAGTAGACAAATACATTCTGCATATACCGAGATGTTATTCATGGATATAAGATTTAAAAAAAAAAAGGTGGAATGACAAAATCATTGTTATTTTTTAAAAAAAATTTTTAAAAATCATAAGACAACTATGATTTTTAATTTGGATGTGGTGATCCTTAAATGGTTTTGATTAAATGGAGACGGGTGGGAAATCTTATTCCGCAGATAGATATAAGATGCACACCTTATTTATTAGAAATAAAATTATCTTTAATCATGATCCCATTGTTGATAAATTAGTTTAAATTATGACAACATTTCTTTGATATTATTGCAATTAAATATTTGAAAGACGCTCCGTTGTTGGTTACCCACTACTTTATTTACAACTCACTGCTTTAATACTGACCTTTCAAACATTCGTAAGGCAAAATCCGTATCTGCCACATTTGGGATGGACTGCATACCAAAGATTTCGCAACTAATCCGTTATCGTCCCTCCATTGATGAATAGTGTTGTAGGTTTTGCAAGTAGTATGAGAAGATAGTAAGAGAAGAGTCGTCGTCTATAACATGGTTTTTTGTATGATCGTCGTCTGTACGATTTAGAGATATCCGGGATGTCCTCGCAACGGCAGGACTTATTGCTGGAGGCACAGTCGTGGATAAAGTGGAAGTGGGGACTTGTGTGGATCTTTGGAGGACGGTAGACCACTCCAATACAAATAAATCCACCAGATGCCCGAACCTCAAGAACCAGATACTCTGGGTGATTTTCTACATATCTCGAGGTCTGCGACTAGGTACTCATATGTTACATACAACGCAACCCCTAATTGTTCCTGTAGAGTTTGTAGCCTTTGATACCGACACTATGAGAGGATAATGTTGAAACAAGCCAAGATTGGTTGACGGCTAGAACATTCAACTCGACGTGCTGAAAAATCAATCTTACCAGATAAAGATTCGGCATTTATATGTGCCACCCGCAGCACCCCTCGATCACCGCAATTTAAGGGACTCACGACAGGCACCAGATCCTCGGCCGGGTCGACTTCCTCGCCCCAATGGCCCACTCTTATATCAAGTATTGGCATCCCGAAATAACAAGCATAATCGAGTGCAAAACTCTACGGCAAATTGTGACACAATTACCATTGAGATTAATTGGACAAGGGCGCGTGTTAAGTATTGAAAGTAATTATAAATTAAATATAAAATGATAATTAGATAAATATGTAAGAAAAACAACATTAGATGATAATTCTCCTGTGTTTGTACTACTTGTTGACTCAAACCACTAAGTTTGAGCTATTTTTGTTTATATTGTGTGGATGAGTAATTTTAAAGGAAATATAGATAGAAATAGACTAGATAAAAAATTAAAAAGTTTTCTCGTCAATTGTTCTGGCTCCACTCACGAATAAGATGATCGACATTGGAACTAATTGTGCGGTTATATCTTCAGAAGGTTTGCTAGTTCACGTAATGTACTATTTTTTTTCTTTTCTTCCTTATCACTTACAAATATAACATCTTTGCTGGTCCAAACATCTTTAAAACCAAATACCTCCTTTGCTCGTTTATATATAATGCGTCTTGTAGGCGTAAAATCTTCATGAATTGAAATGCCAGACACTTTAAACTTTGATTTTAAATAAAATACTTTGTCCTCACTTATTTCAGTGCATTTAAATTCTAGTAGCGCAGACTTATTTTCCACTTTTGTCCTACCAATGGTTTTGAGCACAAAATCAGTCATCTGCAAGGAGAACCCCATTTTTTCAGAGGTTAACTTCACAATTTTTCCTCATTTAAAACTTATGTTCTTTTATTATTGTGATCTATCAACGTACCTTTTCTTCCCAGATGATTTTGACGATCTGTTTCTTCTTTCATTATTATTGTTTAACACCCTCAAAAGTCTATATCCAGTGCCGGGGTTTTGTTTTAATATTCACAAGTGTAAATAACCTAGTTTCCCGATATAAAAGCGGAAGGCTATTCGCAATTCCCGCCAAAACAATTATTTAAAGTTAATTCCCGCCAAAACAATTATTTAAAGTTAAGTTTTAGCAGGTTATTTGCAACATACTTCCGCCAGAGGTAAGATCGGCGTCCTTCGTCCGCAAGGCTTGCCTCAAGTGATTTCTGACTGCGGACCGGTCGAATTCCAAGAAGATTCAATGTTCTTGCAATTAATCTTCTCCCTCTCTCCCTCTTGCATTTTTAATTTTATTTATTTATTTAATTTCGTTATATTCTTTTTGGTTTTTCATTCTGTAGTATCAGCCATAATCTCTCTCATTTTCTTTTCTCTCTCTTTGTTTCTTCTTTTGTCATATTTCATTTTTTATTTTATACTACTAATACTTATATTAACCTTAATATAAAAAAAAAAATACTAACATTCAAATGAATCTGTAATAATTATTATAAATAAGGAATATTGTATATTGTATATTCTATTGAAAAATGTTAATTTAATAATTTCACTTTATTCTAGTCTGTAAGAAAGGGCCCTAGGCCCTAAGATAATAAAAATATCAATAAATCAATCTGTACCTGCTAGAAGAAACGGACTTATATGGATGAAGCCTTTGGTATTTTTGTATGTTATTCCTGTTTATATTAGTTAGTAAGTTTTATATAAGCTTTAGCTTTGTCCGCAAGTTATTGTTGTTTAAATTTATAATTAACTATTTATAAAGTTAAGTTTAGGTAACTCCTTAGATTAAGTTCTATTAATTATCTATAGTCTATTATTTAGTCAGATGTTTCATTGAGCTTTTTATAGTATGTTTGTACAAATTGTATACATAAATAATAAATGTTTTGATTTTGATTACTTATTAATAAAATGTATGTTGGGTTGATAAAGTGGATACGTGAGGTTTTCACATGGTTGTCCATTTAAACTCACATATATAAACGTTAGGACAAAAATAGTACAGACATTGTTTAAGATATTATTTCATTGTGCTTGTCCCCCTGAGGCGTCTGAAAAGGAGATGGAGCCTGATCTGCTTATATAGACATATTATTAGAGTGCTACATGTGGGTAGTTTCTCAACAAGCGTTTTCAAGTTATTATATTCTTGTGTACACATTTACTTAATGTATTTATATTGTAATACAGTTGTAAATATCTTGAATAAATAGTTAGTTAAAAAAAAGTTGTATTTGTGTGGAAGAAGAAGTGAAATATAAAAATATTTCATAGATACGTTTATAACATATTTACTGTAGTTTAATAACTCTAGATCTGATATTATATTTATGATATTATATTAACTAGGTATCTACTGTCCGTTTATTTATTCCAACAGTAACCACTTACAATTAGTGTGACAACTGTATGACAGACAATGCAAACCTCTTAATTCCGTTTTAGTAAACTTTGCAATGGAAAATAACAGTTTAATAACTAATAGTTGTACTATCCATAATCAACCAAAGATATAATAAACAGGATTTTTGTTTTTTTAATGGTAGTTATGATTTGTTAGCTGTAATCTTTTAACTTTACCTCGGTTAAAAATGGCACTAAAAAATTTCATAATAGACCAACATGGCCAGAAAATAATTTCTATTCAAAGTTGAGCGGTAAGTGGAAGCTGTGTGTTATGCGCACCAGATTTTTTTTTTACTACAAAACTATTACCAATAAACTATTTACAACAAAAATATTAACTAAATAACTATTTCCATCAAAACTATTTACAATTTTCACTATACAAATTGGTCAGTATTGGAAGAGTTTTAGAGGGAGAAAGTATGCCATATTCTCAACACCTCATCTACGCATCCAGGATGGAATAATGATAATAAGCCAAAGTACGAATTTCGTCGATATGATCAACTCTTTTCCGTCACGCAGTGCAGCTAGGTAATCTTCAAAAATTATCCTATTTTCAATAGCAGACTTCTTTATCCCTTTAGTCTTTTTGATTCCTTTATCTGCGGGAATTCTTATCGAGTACATCTTCGCACGAAGTCCAACAAACTCGGAGACGGGTACTCCCCGTTGGGTCCATCTTTAAATTTTCCCAACACCTTTTTTTTTTTTAATGTTGGCTTTAAGCACGTCGACCCCTTTGGGTCCATTGTGCGCCAATAGAACACCTTTATATTATACCACATGTGAGTCAGATGTTCATTAGGGAAATCAGAGATATCCAGTTCGTCCATAAATTCTGCCATGCCATTATATAAATCGTCCGTTTGTATAAGATACAGTGAACTGTCAGTGTCTATATACATCAATTTTAGTCAGTGTCTATATACATCAATTTTAGTCTATCTGGTCTGTAGTAAGATAACATTGTGTCGTAGTGGAATTCGTAAATTCGCATCTTGGAAAGATCCAAAATGGCCATTCCTACGGAAATAGGATCTTTTCAAAGTCCGAATGTACTGCCACTAATAATTCTGTACATATCGTTCTGTCTTTGAAAATTGGTTCAGCTATGAGTTTAGTTAGTCGTCGTTGGCTTATTAAAAGCTCAATCTTACACCGTTTTCGGATATACTCCATTAACTTTCTGAAACAATGTAATTTATTAGCTTATAAAAGTCATAGTCTAAGTCGTTCGTAGCTTGTTGTCAGTGTTTAGTGTTTAGTTCAATGTAACTACGAGGCCAATGAGATTGTCTGAATTTGAGCGCTCGATGTACTCAAACTAATTTTAGTCCTAAGTTCATGCACTGTTGCAAGTTGACGAAATGCAAAACGTATTTTTCTCTGTTGCCCTGTGAATCCAAAAGCTTTATGAATTTTCCGTCGGGTGGAACTTTATTCACTGACAAGGGGAAATCCTTGAGCAAATCGTGCAGCCGTTCTTAAACCATTAGAAATCGCCCGAAGGGAGCGCTTTCAACATCGCTCACCTATACAAGTTGTTTGGGTCCAGGTCGGCGATATATGAAGATTCCTCCGGGGGATCTCGATTTGGGTCAAGATATTTATTGCTCGATATTCCGTAACGGTGACTGCATTGGCACAAGCCACCCCTTATACCCCGCTCGATCATCACGACCATATGATAATCCACCAAGAGATCTAATTGTATCCCCGTATTCAGTATTGCATCCAAGTGAGTGCGGGTACCGTATAATACCAAGCCGGGTCCAGCTAATATGCATCCAAACAGGCGCCTCTAAAATTTTCAGACATCACAAAGGAGCATAACACCTACCTTGAGGTAGAGTTCGCTGTACGCTGTCAGCGTTCTGATATTAAACCTGTCCCATACCGCTTGAGCATGCTGATAGTCCTCGTCCGAGATGGGCATTTCATTTAATTGATAATAAAATGCTACCTTTGTGGGGAGAACCATCTCTCGAAGTTTCTCGAACGAGTCCACATAATCATAGGAGTACACTCCTTTTCTGATCATGAGGTCCAAATGGTCAGCGGAGAAGAATTTACTCGTTTCCTTAAAGTTAGACCTGAGTAAATTCTTGGACAACCTATCCAGATTGGAAGCCATAAAGCGGAATGAATCCACAAATCTAACGGTTAAGGCGCCCACTGTCATTGCAAAATAAATTATTTTTTCTTCAGAGTTGGGAATAACATCAATTTGCAAATCGAACAATGAAGTGAGCATCGTAACTGTTGAGATTGTGGAATAGGACGGAAAGGAAACGAGGAATACCCTACAGGATATTACATTTAGAATGTGCTAGACCACGATACATTCCAGAGATGTGATCGCGATTCATCACTTTCTCATTGTCAAAAGTACACGGACGGGAACACAGGTAGGTTTGGGATCTAAGGTGGGCTTCCATCTGCAATGGTGTCAGGGATAGCATGCGCCGCTTCATGGAGTACACTAGAGACACCTTCTCGGCCACATCCCTGATATGTGCCATACATTTCTCTGCTGAATCTCCATCTGTGTAGATGTAGGGTTCAGTGGGAAAATCTTGAGGCAGGAAATGGAGTGCAATATTTTTTGCAATCTTTACATATATACAGAAACATCATAGAAAGATATCTCCGGTAGGGAGTCGTATGTGAGGATCCTTGCTCTCCCGGCTGAATCTTTTTCAAAACTGATTCAAAGTCCGCATATTGGACAAAAGGAATCCTCACTTGTCGTTGTATGTATATAAAAGATATTGTCTAGGGATTCCCTTCATTGTCACAAGCAAGGAGTATTATTCTTGTCGGTTTGTTTTCTCCAC